AGATATATCCAGGCGCATAGTCTCCTATGATAGGTTGGAGAACCTTTTCTTTTGCTTGTTTGTTGACAGTGGCGATCAATTTATTAACATCCGTTTTTAGTGTTTTTGTCGGGTCAGCTCTAATCCTCTTAAACTTGCTATTGTCCGATAGAATGACGTCCAATTTTGTCTTATATTCCTGGCTGCACGACATGTCATTTCTGAATTTGATGTGAGATTTGGGCATTCCGAAGGATTCTTCAGATATTTTGGGGTCCAGACTATGGCATAAGAACTTGCTTTCTCCAGGAACATGATTTTACTGGTACAAAAATCATGAGAAAGAGTTTATACCATACTTTTCACTAGAAGGTTCACTGGCTTATTGCAACAATATTGCTGAATTAATACCAATGCTAGGAGCTACAGTCTGTGAACCAAGGGAGTGGCGATAGTTCAATGATTCTTCTAAAAGAAGTTTAAAAGATGTTCTTCTTAACAATGGTAACATGTATGCATCTGTTCCTATTGCTCATTCAGTTCACTTGAATGAAATGTTTGAAAATCTCGAACTTCTTAATAAGGCCAAATACAAAGACCGTGGTTGGCTACATTGTGGACTTAAAAGCCCTTTAAATGTTGTTGGGTCAACAATCCGGTTATACAAAGTTTCCTTGTTTTTGTGTGAATGGGACAGCAGAGCAGGAAATCAGCACTGGATAAAGAAGCAATGGCCATACAGAGTCGGCCTGATACCAGAATCGTAAAACATTGAATGTGAAAGTTTGGTTGACACAAAGAAAGTCCTATTACCCCCACTTCACATAAAACTGGGCTTGATGAAGCAGTTTGTAAAGGCCTTAAGAGAAAGATGGCAACTGTTTTAAGTATCTATGTGGGCAATTCCAAGCTCTTTGAGAAGCAAAACTTAAAGAAGGGATAGTTGTTGGGCCTCAGATTTAGAAATTGACTTCAAATGAACAGTTTGAAAGGACAATGAGTAAAGTTGAAAAAGAAGCGTGGATTGCCTTTAAAGATGTTATTGACAAATCTTTAGGAAACAACAAGTACCCAAATTACGAAAATATTGTCAGTAACATGATTGATAAATTCAAAGATTTGGGTTGTAATGTGAGCTTGAAAGTTCATTTCCTACACTCACCTATTGATTATTTCTCTGAAAATCTCAGTGCCATCAGCAAAGAACAAGGGGAAAGATTTCATCAAGACATCAGTGAACTGGAGAGGAGGTATCAGGGAAGGTGGAACATCAGCATGATGGCTGATTACTGCTGGTCATTGAAACGAAATGCTCCAGATGCAATACATAAAAGAAAGACCACAACACATGATTTTGAGTCTAATAGACATAGATTTCACACAAAAAAGTCTGGATGAATGAGGATGCATATACATTTTATATCAGTGTTCTTC